CAGCGAACAGCAGCGAGCGGTTGCGTGTCAGACATGAGCTCATCTGCGGCTGGCTCGTCCACTGGGGCGGCGAGCATGCAGCAGATGCTTCAGTGCATGCGCTCGCGAGGCGATGACAGGCTGCGCGCGACCTCAGAATTCAGACAATATGTCAGTCTCCTGACTTCGAGCACCAATGTCACTCATGAGCGCCCTGCAGATCCTCGCGGGCTCGCAGGGCAGTAACGGCTTCGCAAGGATCTGGTCAGAGATCAGTCCGCACTTGTTCACTTTATGCAATAGCACAGACGTCAACGACAAGCTCGCTGGCATCTCTGCCATCGGTAAGCTGCTCTTAGGATCAGCAGGGCGGCTGACTGACGTCTCTTGCTTCGCACAGACAGCATTATCGACATCCTGCCAGCAGGAGATCCGCTCCGTGCATCTCGCCTCGTCAACTTCACCTCAAAGGCGCTACCCTGCGCGGATCCACAGGTCATGTCGCTAGCTGCGAAAGCCTACGCTCGTCTGGTCAGTCAAGGCGGCAATGCGATGAACGAGTATGTCGATGTGCAGATCAAAGCTGCCCTCGAATGGCTGCAGGGCGAGCGTATCGAGAATCGTCGGTATGCAGCTGCATTGGTTGTACGCGAATTGGCCAAGGCAGTGCCTGCACTTGTTTATGAGCACGTTCCGGAGCTGCTCGACAACCTCTGGACAGCCCTTCGGGATCCGAAAGTCGCCATCAGAGAGTCTGCAGCCGCTGCTCTCAATGGCTGCCTCGAAATTGCGTCTCAGCGCGAAGGTCAGCTCAAGAACGAATGGTACATCATGGTCTTCGAGCAGGCGCAAAGAGGCTTCAAGATGGCCACACCGGACGCTATTCATGGCTCTCTACTGGGCTACCAAGAGCTGTTCCTGCGGGCCGGGATGTTCATGCATGCGCGCTATATCGAAGTCTGCGAACAGATCTTTAGCTATAAAGATCACAGAGAGACGCTCGTTCGCAAAGCCGTCATCGAATTGATACCCACTTTAGCGTCTTACAATCACACGGAATTTATTGCGCACTACCTGCACAAAGGGATGGTCTATCTGCTCGGCCAACTCAAGAAAGAACGAGATCGAGCTATCTGTGAGTCATTTGATCGCAATCGCGCCTCACATAAATTGATGCCTGCACAGCTTACCACGCTATCGGACATGTGGCGTTATCGGTGACATCCAGCATGGCTCCTTACCTTGATGCCGTCCTGGCCAGTATCAAGGACGGTCTGCTTGCCAGGGGCCGGAAAACGGCCCCGCCAGAGAGCGCCATCTTCCAGTGCATCAGCATGCTAGCCACTGCAGTCGGTCAAGCGCTCACCAAACACATGCACGAATTACTCGACCTCATGTTTGCATTTGGCCTCAGTGAATCGCTGTGCCGCGCCCTCGTTGATCTCGCGCATCATATACCCCCCTTGGCAGCGACTGTCCGCACGAGGCTACTCAACCTGCTCTCAATGATTCTGAGCGGTCAGCCGTTTCGACCGCCTGGCGCTCCGCCCCAGGCGAAGCTCAACGGTTCGCTGACTTTACGCGAGCCCGAACTGGCAGCCGGCGCCGAACAACGGAATCCGTCAATCATCAGCCTGGCCCTCGTCACGCTGGGCACCTTCGACTTTACTGGACATGTACTAAGCGAATTCGTTAAGGACACTGTCGTTGGCTATCTAGAGGATGACAGCGCAGACGTGCGGAAAGCGTCTGCGCAGACATGCTGCAAGCTCTTTGCTCGCGATCCTGTCATCTTCCAGACGAGCAGTCATGCTATACGTCTGGTTGGCACAATACTCGAGAAGCTGCTCATCGTCGCCATCGCCGATCCCGACCCAACAATCAGACAGACAACGCTCGAATCACTGGATCCCAAGTTCGATCGACACCTCGCTCAGGCGGAAAACGTGCGCTCGCTGTTTATCGCGCTCAATGACGAGATTTATGGCAATCGAGTGATCGCAATCAAGATCATCGGTCGCCTCTCGGCGTATAATCCAGCCTATGTCATGCCCTCGCTTCGCAAAACGCTCATCCAGCTACTAACGGAACTGGAATACTCAACATCGAATCGTAGCCGCGAAGAGAGCGCCACGTTACTGACTCTTCTGATAAGCGCCTCGCAGCGGCTGACCAAGCCATATGTTCTGCCAATCATCAAGGTTCTCCTCCCAAAGGCGCGCGATCGTGTGCCGGCAGTGGCTTCGAGCATTATGTTGGCTCTTGGAGAACTGGCTAAAGTTGGCGGCGAGGACGTGCTGCCGCATCTGGAAGATTATATGACACTTATCATCGAGACTTTGTACGATCAGGCCTCACCAATCAAGCGAGACGCGGCCCTACACGCTCTAGGACAGCTCGCGTCTCACTCCGGCTATGTCATCGATCCGTACTTGGATCATCCCAGTCTGTTGGGCAACTTGATAGCAGTACTCAAGAGCGAGCAGAACTCGTCAATCCGGAGAGAAACGATCCGCGTCATGGGCATCCTCGGTGCTCTGGATCCGTACCGGCAAACGGCAGGAGAGAGACAATCATCAGAGACAGCAGTCAAAGCTCAGAATCCTGCCGATCCCTCGCATCCGGCAAACATTGGGCCTTCGCACGATGAATACTATCCAACGATTGCCTTCAGTGCGCTTCTTGCGATCCTTCGCGATCCGTCGCTGTCCAACCATCATACAGCAGTGATCGAGGCAGTGATGTACATCTTCCGTTCGTTGCGCCTTAAATGCGTCACCTTTCTGCCGCAAGTCATACCTGCCTTTCTTGGCGCCATGCGATCTTGCTCGCCGGGCTTGCAGGAGTACTATTTCCAGAATCTCGGTCATCTCATCGCGATGGTTCGTCAGCACGTCCGAAATCACCTGGACCCTATCCTAGGCCTAATCAAAGATTTCTGGCCTAACGGGGCCGGCGTTCAACTGATCATCGTCGACCTGATCGAGTCCATCGCAGTCGCACTGGAAGGCGAATTCAAGGTGTATTTACCGGCTCTGTTGCCTGCATTATTAAGCGTATTCGATGGCGATGGGGACCGCAAGACAGCGATACAGCTTCGCGTCCTGCACGCCTTTGGCACGATTGGTGCGAACCTCGAAGAATATCTCCATTTGGTCATACCGGTCATCGTGCGAACGATGGAACGCACGACTGCGCCGATCAATATACGCAAAGCGGCCATACAGACAGCTGGCATACTCTGTCGCAAGATCAACTTTGCAGACTATGCATCTCGCATCATACATCCGCTGGCTAGAATCCTCACAAGCGCTCCGACCGAGCTCAAGATTGCTGCTATGGACGCTCTGTGTGCTCTCGTCGCTCAAATAGGCGCTGATTATGCCAGCTTCATTCCGATGGTCAACAAATGTCTCGTGCAAAGCCGGATACAACACCAGAAATACCAGCATCTGATCTCGACTTTGCTCAAGGGCGAGAGCCTGCCCGAGGATCTCGGTTACGGTAATTTCGACGTTGTAGCAAGTGCAGAGGCAAATCCGGCTGCAGATGCTGGCATTAATAAGCTGCCAGTGAATCAGCAAAATCTCAAGAGCGCCTGGGAGACAGTCGATCGCGCAAAGCCAGACGACTGGCGAGAATGGCTAAAGCGGCTCAGTGTACAGCTGCTTAAGTCTTCGCCATCGCACTCGCTACGAGCATGCGCAAACCTTGCTGAAGTTTACCAGCCCCTCGCACGCGACCTATTCAACGCCTCCTTCGTGTCCTGCTGGACAGAGCTCTACGATCAGTACCAGGACGAGCTAGTTAGGGCCATCGAGAGTGCCCTGTCTTCGCCGACGGTGCCGCCAGAAATCATGCAGACTCTACTGAACCTCGCTGAATTCATGGAGCATGATGACAAGGTCTTACCAATTTCCATTCGAGCCCTTGGATCGTACGCCACAAAGTGTCACGCTTATGCCAAAGCGCTTCACTACAAAGAGCTAGAATGCATGACCGAGCCGATGCCAGAGACGATTGAGGCGCTGATTCGGATCAATAATCAGCTGCAGCAGCCCGACGTCGCTGTCGGCATTCTCACGCATGCACAGAGGCAGTACGACATTGCACTCAAGGAAGATTGGTATGAGAAGCTCGAGCGATGGGAAGATGCTCTGGCCGCATATGAACGCAAGCAACAGGACGAACCGGACAACATCGAGATTGTCCTTGGTCGGATGCGGTGCCTCCATGCCCTTGGCGAATGGGAGTCGCTCTCACATCTTGCTCAAGAGAACTGGTCTAGCGCTACGCTCGATGTCCGGCGCAAAATCGCACCGCTTGCAGCGGCAGCAGCTTGGGGTTTGACGCAATGGGAGACTATGGACGACTACATCTCGGCTCTCAAACATGACTCTGCAGATCGATCTTGGTTTCGTGCGATCCTCAACATCCATCGCAATCAGTTCAACAAGGCACAGCAGCATGTCAACAAGACACGAGACCTCCTCGACACTGAGCTCACTACGCTCATTGGCGAGTCTTACAACCGCGCCTACAACCAGATCGTGCGTGTGCAAATGCTGGCAGAACTCGAAGAGATCATCCAGTACAAGGAGAGCTGTAGAGACGCCAATGACTCCAGGGAGCGTCGTCAGGTCATTCAGAAGACATGGATGAAGAGGTGTGCTCACTTTGCTCAGAATAGCGCAGGCTGACTGTAGTCGTAGGCTGCGAGGATGTCAGCCAGATGTTGAAGTCTGGCAGCGGATACTCAAAGTGCGCGCGCTCGTCATGACGCCTCGAGAGAACATGGAGATGTGGATAAAATTTGCTAACCTCTGCCGCAAATCTGGCAGGTTAGGTCTGGCAGAGAAGACCCTCAACTCGCTGCTGGGTGATGACTATGGCGACGCTGAAGGACCTGTAGGGTGCAAAGCTTGCGAAACGAGCGCGAGCTGACGCTATATCAACAGGCTATGCAGGGGCCGCCTCACGTCATCTACGCTCACCTGAAATTCATGTGGGCAAGTGGTGCCCGGGAGGAGACTTTGGCATATCTGCGCGACTTCACAGCGAGACTCTCGCAGGACTTGGGGCTACAGGGTTCTGGGGATAGACGAGCCCAAACCGAGCTGCTCATGTCTGACTCTCTGCAGGACTATACTCATCTGCTCGCACGATGCTACTACAAACTCGGCGAATGGCAGATGACTCTGCAAGATGACTGGGGCTCTGTAAGCTTTTCCCGCCAGTCAGGCCCAGCTGCTGATCGTATCGTTGCAGGAACATGTGCCAGATGTCCTCAAGTCTTATCTTGTCGCAACGCGTCTCGATCATCGATGGTATAAGGCGTGGCATGCTTGGGCGCTGGCGAATTCTGAAGTCGTTTCGCATTACGTCAAAACGCAGCCAGATAACGAAGCTATTTCTCCCGAGCTCTTTGCAGGCCATCTTGTGCCATCTGTTCAGGCCTTCTTCCAATCGATCGCTTTATCTCCAGGCAATTCCGTGCAGGACACGCTGCGCCTGCTCACGCTATGGTTCAAGTACGGCTACCATCCCGATGTGAGTGGCGCGATCGCAGAGGGGTTCACCAATGTGTCGGTCGACACGTGGCTCGAAGTCATACCCCAATTGATCGCCCGCATACATGCTCCGAGCGCCAATGTGCGACGCTTGATTCAACAGGTTCTTACGGACGTGGGTCGAGCGCATCCACAAGCTCTCGTCTATGCTCTCACAGTCGCTTCGAAATATCCTAGCGCACCTCGTCGCAAAGCAGCTTTGGCTATCATGGACAAAATGCGCGAGCATAGCGCTTTGCTCGTCGAACAGGCGCTCCTGGTCAGTCAAGAGCTTATCAGAGTGGCAATATTATGGCAAGAGCTATGGCATGAGGGTCTGGAAGAAGCTTCGCGCTTATTCTATGGCGACCATAATGTCGAGGCCATGTTTGCAACGCTAGACCCACTACATGATATGCTCGAGAGGGTATGTCCTCTGCTTATGCTGGCTGTTGATTCCTGACATGCTCTCTCAGGGACCTGAGACCTTGCGCGAGATTGCTTTCCATCAGACATATGGACGCGACCTACAGGATGCCCGTGAATCCTGTCGCCGTTATAAGCAATACGGCGAACACAACGATCTCAATCGGGCTTGGGATCTGTACTACCACGTCTTCCGCAAAATCACCAAAGCGCTCCCTCAGACGACCGTCCTAGAGTTACAGCATGTCTCGCCCAAATTGCTGGCAGTGAAGGACCTCAGCCTGGCCGTACCCGGCACTTACCACAGTGGAAAGCCTATCGTCCGGATCGGCAAATTCGCGCCTGCCTTCGACGTCCTCACCTCGAAGCAACGACCGCGAAAATTGAGAATCACCGGCAGCGACGGGCATGAATATCCCTTCCTGCTGAAAGGCCACGAGGATTTGCGACAGGACGAGCGGGTCATGCAGCTCTTTGGCCTTGTCAACACACTATTGTCGAGAGATCCAGAGACGTTCAAGCGACATCTCAGCATCCAGCGTTATCCTGTCGTGCCACTCTCCCCCAATTCTGGACTGCTCGGCTGGGTTGAGCAGACCGATACGCTGCATGTGCTCATCAAGAATTATCGAGACAGCCGCAAGATACTCCTCAACATCGAGCATCGATTGATGCTCCAGATGGCGCCCGACTACGACCACCTTTGCCTGATGCAAAAGATCGAAGTGTTCGAATACGCGCTTGACAACACGACTGGACAAGATCTATACCGAGTGCTCTGGCTCAAGTCACGCAATTCGGAAGCATGGCTCGATCGGCGTAGCAACTATTCGCGATCGCTGGCCTGCATGAGCATGATCGGACACATCCTTGGCTTGGGGGATCGCCATCCCTCGAATCTATTGCTCGAGCGAGGGTCGGCCCGGGTCGTCCATGTCGATTTCGGAGACTGCTTCGAGGTGGCCATGGCGCGAGAGAAGTATCCCGAACGAGTGCCGTTCAGGCTGACGCGCATGCTCACACTCGCCATGGAAATCTCTGGCGTCGAGGGAACCTTCAGACTATGCTGCGAAAACACAATGCGCGTCGCGAGAGACAACAAAGAGTCTATCATTGCTGTGCTCGAAGCGTTTGTGCACGATCCGCTCATTAATTGGCGTCTCGTTACGGGCTCTCGCAAGACACCCGCAGCTGCTTCAGAAGGTCAGTCACTGTCGTCAGACCTCTCGTTACGAGTTCTGACGGGTCTATACAGTCGCACAAGAGGGTGGCCGGGCCTATGCTCGTCGCCCGAAAGTCGACGAGACCAATCTGGCCGATGGTAGGCCTTGCGTCTTCCTGATCAGTGGCACTGTCCTGACGGGGGCTCCGCAGAGGAAGCTGCTGATGCACTCAATCAGAGAGCGCTCCAAGTCGTCGATCGCGTTACTCAGAAGCTGACCGGGCGAGACTTCAAGCCGACCGTCAGCCTGTCAGTGGCAGATCAGGTCGACAAGGTCAGTTCGCCCCTCACGCCCACGCGCAGGAAGGCTGACAAGTCACACAGCTGATCGTCCAAGCAACTGCGATCGAGAATCTCTCGCAGAGCTTCGTGGGCTGGTGCGCGTTCTGGTAGATGGCGCATCATCGAGTGCCGGGGCGCCGACGTGTGCATTGAATGCAAACTGCCTTTACCACAAAATTTCGTCTGGAATTTGTCGGCTTGATAATTTCGCTCGATCGCTTCATGTCAGAGACGTCAAAGCGGCGGTCTGGCGCACAGAGGGCGAAGACGCGGAGGTGAGGCCAGCTGGCAAGTTCTCTGCTGTCCTAGCTGACAGGGATGGGCCAGAGCCAACATGGCCTCAACGCAGTCGCAGAGCTCGAGTCAGAGCCAACCGCCCGTCGCTTCCACTTCCGCCAGCAGAACCAATGGACGAGCCAGGAGCTCAAGCTCAGCTGCATCCTCTACAGCATCTTCATCGGCATCTTCAGCCTACGAGGACGAGTCCGAGTCGCCCAACGGGATGGACGTCGACGAGGACCAGTACTATCTCTCAATGTCCAAGGAAGAGCAGGCTAGCTATGAAAAGACCGTCGGCAACGAGTACTTCAGGGCGGGCGACTACCGCAATGCTGCTGCTCGCTATTCCGCTGCCATTGGTGAGCTTCATCGCGCGTGATGTTCATTGGCAGTCCGCTGATGCCTCTCTCGCCACGCTGCAGAGCTCGATCCTGCCGAGGCGTCCTATCTGACCAACAGAGCGGCAGCCTACATGGCCATCAAGAGCTACCGGGCAGCTCTGGAAGACTGCAAGACCGCGGCAGAGCTTGAAAAGGCGCAGCCAAAGGTCAAGACGCTGGCCCGTCTCGGCCGTTGCCAGCTGGCATGCGGCCTCTTTGACCCTGCTTCGGCGACCCTCAATGCTGTCTTGGAGCTCGATGCAAGCCACGCCGAAGCCAAAAGGGACCTCGTCAAACTCGCTCGTGTGCGCGTCAAGGTGGCTCACCTCGAGCGTCAAATTGGCGCTGGTGACTGGAGTATGGTGCTCGTTGGCCTCGAGGATATCGAGAAGGACGTCGAGAGCGGACCTTCAGCCTGGAGAAGCTGGCGTATCCAGGCACTCATCGCCAAGAAGCGCTTAGAGGAAGCTAGCGCGGTAGCAAGCGACGCGCTCCGGCTCAATACATCCGATCCAGAGGCACTCTACTGGCGGGGCAGGGTGCTCTACCTGACCGGCAATAACGCGCAAGCCATCGCGCACTTTCAGCAAGCCCTGCGAGGCGATCCAGACTATGCAAACGCAAGGTAAGTCTCACTGATGCGCCCCCAAGTCTGAACACGACTGAAGGACAAGGTGCAGGACGGGCTTGAAGCGAGCGAAGCTTCTGGATAGCAAAAAAGATGAAGGCAATTCTGCCTTCAAGGCCAGTCGATGGCGAGAAGCAATTGCGATTTATACCGAGACAATGACCATCGACCAAGAGAACGAGACAATGCGCTTCACTTTACTGAGCAATCGTGCGGTCGCATACAGCAAGCTACCGGACCATCAAGCTGCTCTCCGAGACTGTGAGACCGTCCTGCGCGATCTCCCGACGCATTACAAAGCTCTACGCACAAAGGCAAAGAGCCAGCTCGCTCTCGAAGACTACGAAGCTGCCGTCGCGACTTTCGAAGCTGCCCTTAGCGCGGCGACCAAGGGCACCCCGGAAGAGGCGACAGCAGACAAGGAGCTCAAATCTGCACGCATCGAGCTCAAGCAGAGCAAGATGATCAATCATTACAAGGTTCTTGGTGTCGAGCGCGATGCCAATGACGGTGACATCAAACGAGGTATGCAACCTTTTCTACTACTAGGCAGTCCAAGCACTGAATTTCTCTTCTGCAGCCTATCGTCGCCAGAGCCTGATCCACCATCCGGACAAGGGCGGCGACGAGCACAAGTTCAAGCAGGTCAGCGAGGCCTACAGTATCCTCTCTGACCCTCAGAAGCGTCGCCGATTTGACCTAGGCGATGATGGCACGAGCATGCCAGACACGGGCATGGGAGGCTTTGCGTTCGATCCCTCCATGTTCGCTCGCTCGGGCTTTAGTTCTCAGTACGGCGGAGGACACTCTCATTATTCATCGTACGGCTTCTAGACTAGACAATGCATGTGCAGATGCTGTAGCAGAGGAGCTGCACTGTTTGTACACGGTTGACAAGACTTATGTATCATCGTCGCTGATCTTTGGCGCGAGATAGTATGAGATCTTGCCACCTTCGAATCCAAACTCGACAAGCAAAGGGATTTCGTTCGACATCTTGAGCTGTACTTGATTGGAGAGCGTTGCCGCCTTTGAGAAGTTTGCCAGGTACTTGGTCGTGAAGAAGAGCGAGACCGACTGATTGAGCGTGATCGTGACGGAATTGTTGGAACCGTCATCTTTGGATGGCTTGCCTTTCTTCGTCTCCTTGCCGGCTCGCTTGCGCTTCTTGCTCGTCTCCTCTTCTTCTTCAGATTCTTCAGGTTGCTCCTGCTCCTCATCGTCCTCACCGGCCCCACCGTCTTCGCCGTCAGAGTCAGACTGGACGACCTTCTTGCCCTTCTTCTTTGGCTTAGAGACCTCTTCGTCGTCTTCGTCCCCAGAGACGGCGATAGGCGCTGCCTCCTTCTTTATTGTAGGCTTTACGTCCTCTTCGTCCTCCATTTCCTCGTCGTCATCTCGCGCGATGTTCTTCTTCTTCTTCGGCGCTATTTTGGCAGATGGCTTGCGGCCATTGGAAATAGCTGATCCGCCGGTTGGTTTGAGCGTCACCGAGGCCTTGCCGATATCACCGTCCGAAAAGAATTTGACGTTCTCCTTGGTGGCCTCAATCTTGACAGATTCGCCAATGCCGGACAGATCGTTGATGATGCGTCTGAATTCATGCGAGGGCATGCTGATCTCGGCATCGTACTCTGTTGTGGGAATGCCGAGCTGCTCTTGGTCGATATCCATGAGCTTGAGCTCATACTCGCCGATCCGGTCAGTCTCTGCGCGACGCGTCAGCTCAGGAATGAGCGGTCTGTCGCGCGCAGGAGACCACTCACTGGGGTCCTGGAAGCTCAGATTGACGACATCTCCATCGTCGGTAGCGCGCAGCGTGACCTGGTCATCGTTGCCGGCGCACTTGACGATCTTTGTGAGAGAGGCGAGGTTAATGCCGAGCGATAGGTTCCGATCGCATCTGTAGTCGTCCTCGAACGCGCCAGTCTCGAGCTCTAGGGAGACGAGGGCGACGTGAGAGTTATCCATCGCTTGCAGTTTCTGCCCAAAGAGCCATTGTCAGTCTTGGTGGTCCCCTTCCCTGATGAAGCAGTCTGAGCAACGCACGATCCCTTCATCCGTGCATTCAAAATTGGCGTCCGTCACGAGCTCCTTGATGGCTGCACGCGTGAGCAGTCAGGGCTGTCTGCCTTTGAAGTGGACGGAGTCAACGCTCACCATCTAAGATCTTTTTCAACAGATCCGCCGTCTTCAGCCTTGCTTCCTGTACACGTCGCCGGTCAAGATGAGTGTCATGCAATCCTGCGACGATAGTGAGCAGCACGCACCAGCATCTTGAGAGTGCGTCGAAGCAGACGGAGCGCGCGCCTACGCGTCTTTGAGCTTCATGCCAAAACTCTCACGCCTCCTGCTGGCCGACAGGGCAGAGCAATATCGCGGGCGACGTGTTTTCAAGTGGCCGCTCCGCCCGACAACGACACATACAAAGCGACAACACTATCAATGGGTAATGGTCACAAGCTCGGAAAATAGGTCTTCGAGCAGGCTCAGCCGCTCGTTATCTGTACCTCGAGGGCTTTGCTCGTAACGAAGCCAATTGGCGCGAATGAGCCGGAAGATGGTGGCCTCGCTGGCTCTTGATGGCTGACTCCGGAGAAATGGGTCTTCGAGTAAAGCGGGTATGGTCGAACGCTGCTTCGCATCGAAGCGGAGACAGGACCGCAGGACGACCAGCAAGTCGTGCTCGACCTCGACTGCAGCCTCCGAGACCTGGTGTCCCTCGCGATCTGTCGGGATTGCATGAGACGGAAATGCGATGGCGAATTTGGGATTCTGAATCGCCATCATCTTATGTTGCAGAATCCGGATGTGTCCAAAGGGTGTAATGCCATAGACCATCTGGTAGAGAATGCAGCCAAGCGACCAGACATCTGATGCGCGGCCGAGCTGCGAATATCGCGTGCTCAGCGCAGAGCCCAGCTTAGCGTGTCACGACGTACCTTCATCATCCGCTCGCCTCGAGGGCCGAGACCAGAGTCGCACAAGGCTTCCGGCGACATATAGTTGGCTGTGCCAATCTGAGAGTCTCGAGCAATATTGGTTGTATCGCTTGGAATCGCCTTGGCGATGCCAAAGTCGATCAGCTTGAGCGCGCCTCTCACAAGTACAAAGTTGGCAGGCTTGAGGTCGGTATGTACTATGCCTGCATCGTGAACGACTTTGACTGCTTCGAGCATCTGCGCGCGCGTGTCAGCCTGTGCGATAGCCCGGCGCATCCGACTGACCTGTTCCCACACATGCCTTACAAAGTTCATGCTGACCCGCTGGCCGATCTTCTCTTGCAGCAAATTGTTTAGATCAATCTCCCCGACTTCCATGACCATGTAAAGCGTCTTTCGCTGCTCATTGACCTCTGAATCGACAAGCTGAATGATCCGGCTGTGACCTTTGAGCTTGATGAGCAGCTGAATCTCGTTGCAGAATGAGGTGTACGTTTCCTCATCGCCCCGATTGAGCTGGACTTTCTTGATGGCAAAGATATTGTGCTCGGCGTCGGTAACGCGATAAACACGACTGCTACCGCCCTTGCCGAGCAACGCGGAGCGGATGTAGACCTTGCCGTTGACCACGATGGTCTGGCTCGACTTGCGAGAAGATCGCTCGCCCTTTGATGCTATCTGACCGTTTTGTACAGGCGTCGCTGTTGCTTGTGCTGGTGGCGCATACAAAGGCGACTCAGTCTTAGTGGGTACCTTGTAGTCTAGATGTTGACGAGGTGGCGCTTCTGGCGTGGGAATATTCGTCGTTCTTGCTTGGGCTAGGGGCAAATCGCCGAGGATGTCGCGATCGTCACCGAAAGTCTTGCCCTCTCTGCGAGGTATCGGTCTGGCGCTGACAGGCGCTCGCACGGGCTCTGAAGGGCCAGATACAAGTTTGGGCGACGGTTGCTCGCGCTCTGACGAAGTGTCGGACCGCTGACTCTCTGGGCTGGCTGAAGCGCTGCTTGAGTGCGAGTGGGATCGATCTGAACTTGGCTCTGCTGAGTCTTCGCGCACTGGCGCTCGTCTTGCTGGTGGCAGTGTACTCACTGTGACGCACGCAGTCAGCGAAACCCTTGTCGCACGCCTACTGCGTACTTACACCTCACGATAGAGCGCGGATTGCGATACCGCCGTAAGGTGTCTTTGACATTTGATGGCTCGAGGCTAGACATTGGTTGAGGCGTTGCTTTGTCAGCCGCAGCAGTCGCAAAGTGATTAGACGCTGATCGTGCGGCTGGTGTCGAGACTGCATGCCCATATTGCTGGGCAGCATCTTGTCCGGCTGCTATCAGGCCTGTTGAGCTGCTTGACTTGACGATCGTCCTCTCATCGTCTTCAATCGGTATTGTCACAGCTGTAACAGCTGGGACGGATGCACTATCGGACGCCAGCTCGACAGTAGACAGCGAAGTGCTCGCCTGGCTAGTGACGGCGTCTAGCATATCCGGTCGATGTATGTCTGTCGATTTGGACGATGGTGCAAGGGATGACCCACCCGAGAGTGAGCTAGTCAGCGCTGCCGGTACATAGCTTGGCAGTTTACGCTTCCTATCCAGAGAGCCCGCAATGGCAGTCGTCTGCGGTGTGCTGACAGGGCCAGAGCTGCTCGCAGAAGCTGTACGTTGTAGCCTCGGTCGCTCCGGATTTGAGCTCCCGTCTTTGGCATGCAAGCTTCTCGCTAATGCAGAGAGACCGGTAGTGCGAGCGCCGAGGACGCTGTATGTGCCTATGCCTGCTTGAGACGTAGAAAGCGCTGAAGGACTTGTGGCATATCTTTTGCTCGGTACCGCCGGGCCGGTCAAGGGGACTTGCGCAGGTATGCCGGGCCTCTGATCATGACGTGACGTGCCCATGAGGTCCCTGAACTCCGACATGCCCCGTCCACTGCCGCTGAAGGTAGCTAGGCTGACGACAGAGTCGGCGATCCGGTTGTGATTTGCGTTGCTCTTCTCCTGACTCGATTCCAGCTGAATGATGTCTCTGAGGAATGCGCTCTCGAATGCGGGCTCCTCCAGCTCCTCTTCATCGTGCATCGCAGGCGAGCAGGCGGCAGCTCTCGACTTTCGTCCGTCAGTGTTTGAGCAGCGCGACGGGTCACGTGTTAGTCAGGGTGATGCCGATATTCCGAGTCGGCCCAGGTGAAAAGGAGTGACCGCCCTTTAGCGCGTTGCGTGCACTCACTCAGCTTGGGCAAGAGCGCCTGCCAGCGTCCGCAGAGAATGGTCTTCATGAGGAGAGCGACACTCGCGGCTAGTCGGATCTGCCGTACTGCGCCTGTGGCGAGGTCAGCGATTGCTTCGCGAGCCTACGCAACAGCCAAGCCAGGCAAGCTCCTTTCCTATCGGTGCAAAAGCCTGTCCAGCCTCGCTGACGCTGGCTTTGCCCCTCCTTCTCGCAGCTGCTTCCGAGGTCTCGTCCATCCTCGAATCACGCATCTCCGGATCTGGCGGTGCTGCTGACATCCAGGAGACCGGCAGAGTCTTGACGATTGGAGGTAAGCCGGCTCATCCGGTTCGCTGTCCGTCCACGTGTCCCGTGCTGAGCCTCATGCCCGCATAGACGGTATCGCTCGAGTCTACGGCCTACGCAATGTCCAGGCAGATGAGATGGTGGAGTTCTCGTCCGGCGTACGTGGGATGTGCCTCAATCTCGAAGCCGACAATGTCGGTGTTACCGTCTTTGGCTCCGATCGGCTCATCCGCGAAGGCGACACCGTCAAGCGTACCGGCCAGATCGTCGATGTTCCCGTCGGCCCAGAGCTGCTCGGCCGTGTCGTCGACGCGCTGGGCAACCCCATCGATGGCAAGGGCCCGATCAACACCAAGGAGCGCTACCGCTCTCAGCTCAAGGCGCCCGGCGTCCTGCCCCGTCACTCTGTCAACCAGCCCATGATGACCGGTCTCAAGCCCGTGGACGCCATGGTGCCCATCGGCCGTGGACAGCGCGAACTCATCATCGGCGATCGCCAGACCGGCAAGACCGCCGTCGCACTCGACACCATCCTCAATCAGAAGCGATTCAACGACACCGGTGACGAGTCTCAGAAGCTCTACTGTGTCTACGTCGCCATCGGACAGAAGCGCTCGACCGTCGCCCAGCTTGTCAAGACGCTTGAAGAGAACGATGCGATGAAGTACACCATCATCGTGGCAGCCACCGCCTCCGAGGCAGCTCCCTTGCAGTACCTCGCGCCTTTCTCAGGCTGCGCAATGGGCGAATGGTTCAGAGACAACGGCCGCCATGCACTCATCATCTACGACGATCTGTCCAAGCAGGCTGTCGCGTACCGTCAAATGTCTCTCTTGCTTCGTCGCCCGCCCGGACGTGAAGCTTACCCGGGTGATGTCTTCTACCTGCACTCACGTCTGCTAGAACGTGCTGCAAAGCTCAACAAGGACCACGGCGGAGGCTCCCTGACAGCACTGCCGATTATCGAGACTCAAGGTGGTGATGTGTCTGCCTACATGTATGTTCTTACCTTTCCTGTCGAAAACAGCCTACTGACTGTTCTGCCGTGCAGTCCCACCAACGTCATTTCCATCACTGACGGACAAATCTTCTTGGAGGCTGAGCTCTTCTTCAAGGGCGTTCGACCTGCCATCAACGTCGGTCTCTCGGTCTCCCGTGTCGGCTCTGCTGCTCAGTCAAAAATCATGAAATCTGTGTCCGGCTCACTCAAGCTATACCTGGCGCAATACCGTGATGTTGCCGCCTTCGCACAGTTCGGATCCGATCTCGATGCCTCTACTCGCTATTTGCTCAACCGTGGCTCGCGTCTGACGGAGCTGCTCAAGCAAGGCCAATTCCAGCCGATGCCTTTTGAGACGATGGTCCCCATCCTGTACGCTGGCGTCAACGGAAAGCTGGACAAGGTTCCTGTTGACAAGATCACTGCCTGGGAAAAGTCATTCCGTGACCACCTCAAGGGTCAAGAAAGTATGTTGAAGGAGATTGGCAAAGGCAAGATGACTCGTGCGTGGTTCCCCGTCTTCTCTGATGGTCTTCGTTTCGCTGATACCTCCTGCCATGCAGCTGAGCTCGAGGAGCAGATCAAGAAGACCATCGAAGACCATGTCTCGAGCTTTACATCGTCATAAGACGAGATGCGCAATTGAGCAATGTCTTAGATGCAAATGTCTCATGGTGCTTGCGTTCGCGGGGCGCAACAAGTATGCATTGCAGACGTTCGCCTGCTTTGCCCTTTGGTTCACAGCCAATTGACGCTTCGACAGCTCGCGCATGAGCTTCTCTATCTGTGCTTGACGTGAGGAAGATAGCGAGAAGCTCTAGCCAGCACCGGACCACCGATCACCGACAACATGAACGTCAGGCGTCGCGCGACGCTACAGAATCCGTTACCTTAGGTAGAGTTGGCAGTCTCGAATGCAGGCGCCTCTGCATGGTTGCCTCAAATGATAGCAGTCTGAGACGTGTGAAGCCTGTGCGATGTGACAACATCCTCAGCAGTCTTGCTGAAGATGGCTGACAAGCTGGCCTGTTATGATCGCATGTTGTGACCGCTCTGCAGGCGACAGCCCACGCATACCGCTGATCGGAGTGGCTGGCAAACGCGTTGACACGATAGCGTGACAAAGAGCAATTAACGCGCTTTTTCTCCAATGGCGGCTTTGTTAGTTTAGCTTCCCCAGATTTGAAAGGTATATAGACCCTATAGTTTATTCCAGCTGACGTATGCTAGTAATTATCGTTCGACTTGGTTTCCAGTTTTGTAGTTGTGCATGATAGACTTGCGCGTTTTGAGATCTGTCTCGCGCGTTTGCTCATTATTGAGTTGGCTTCTGATTGAGTCTGCTTCTGTTTGCTTGCGACGCGTGAATCAGCTTATAGACTGCTTGGCCCGTTGGTAAATTTCTTTGGGAACGCTAGATCTGAAAAGATGCTGTTGTCTCTGCCGGGTTTGGGTGTGCTGGCTGAGCGAGGAAGCGTGTGGAGACCACCCTAAAGCGAGAGTGCAAATTGGTGAGCGCGTGTAGTGACCACCCTCAAGTAGCGACCGGAAAGAGTGATCGAGAGATCACAAATCTTTAGAACGAGAGCTTAGCCTCAGCAGATCGTAGCAACAAGGCTACTCTACTGCTTACAGCACTCTGTTCCAGTCAAGTCGTCTGCAAGGGATTCACTCCCACGAATGTTTGATGATGCAATTCATGGAGACCCGACGCAGCCTTTCCGCTGGCCGGGCACTTCCAGTCTATGGTTCACGAGTTCCGAGGAAGCTCTATCGATACGCAACTTTTTATAAAGTTCGTGGGAAGA